TTGTAAAATGTTAAATAGGTTTAGAAATTTAAACTTTAATGTAGTGGTAAATAATTATTCGTGTGTATATTGTATACATATATATGTGTGTATAATTATTAGGTAATACATAATATATAACTACATGGACCATATACCTACATCATCTAAGTACCTATATGGCTATCTATATGGCATTTATATATTATATACATGACTGTGAAGTGAATAATTCAATACATTATATCAATAAAAAAAATGTGAAGGTTAACAATAATCGCTATTCATCATTTAAAGATTATTATTGCTTCCAGGTACACATACGAGTAAAGAAATACACAATTTATTAAAAAAGAATATACAATTAAAATTGATATATTCGTTATCAATTTTATTTTAAATCCTGATTTTTGTTTTATAATGTATCTATTAAAATATCACAAATATAAAATATGTATATAAAATGTATAAAATATTTAAAATATATACAAATCTATCATGCGTAAAAATAAAAATAAGTACAATTTTTCAATAATAAATTATTTTAGAAAAGATATTCAGTAATTTATATTATTTTAATATAGACTATAGAATCAAGGTTATGATAAATTATCAATAACCGTTGTAGTGTATTAAAAATAATTGCATATTTAACTAAACACTATATTATTTTATGTACCTATTTTTAACTACATAGACAAGTATTCATTAATATACTTTTATTTGTTAATAGTTATTTTATATAATTACTCATTGTAACTATTATTTAACATATATTATCTTTGCTAATATTTTTAATTCATAGGGGGGAAATATTATGTGAACACCAATAAGGAAAAGTCTATTATTTGGGTGTGCTAGATTGCCAGGTTTGAAGAACGAATTAAAAAAACAAACATTTGCCATTAACATATGTTAAAACATTACATGGTTTCAAAACTATAAATTAATAACATACGGTTCAGCAGTTTTGTTTTAACTTTTGATCATGTTGAACTAAGATAATGGTAGATATATTAACTAAACGAAAAATAATCTTGAGGACTTAAATATGACGAAGTATATTTATAGTTGTTATCGTATAAAATTAAATCACAATACATTGAAAATCATAGTTAATTGTAAAAACAAAATTAATTTTTTTTAAATATAAAAATAAAATAATAAAATATTAATTGGCATATTGATTGAATATTATTTTGTATACTCATAAACATATTTCATTAAGGATTAAATCTTGTAACATTCGAAGTAAGCAGTAGCTCCATTCAATTAATTTTTATTTTATCATTACAATGATTTCTTATTTTGTTTTCTACTATAGGATGGCTCATAAATAATAACATATATAGGTGCAAATAGGGTTTGAAATTTGGGGGGAGGGGCTTGAAGCTCAGTTCTATACTTGATGCTTTTATGCCATAACAAAATATGTAGTAAAATTATTAGTTTCTGGACGAGGCTAAGTCCCCAGCCTCCTCTATTTACGCCTATGATAATAAATGATACGAATAAATATCTAACGAAGACATAACCAAGACACTAAGATATATAAGACAATAATCAATTATTCTTAATAGGTTTTTATTTCTACCTACAATTTTAATTATTGTTACATTTATGCTATAAAACAAGCATTTATGATGATTAGAATCATTGATTAAATACGAATAATTTATAATTTAAATGAACTTACTTTCGAATAGTGCTGAAGGACGTTGATAATCTGAACGTCAACTATGCGGACTAAAAATAAAACAATGAATTATATCCTTGATTATTTTTTATTTTATGGATTTGTATCAATGTAGATGCCTGAATAAATAGCGCAAAGAATTATTTTTTTTCCAGCGCTATATGTTTGTATATTGATGTTAGAGTAATTTTTAATAATCACTTAAGAAATAAATAAAAATTGTAATTTATGTGGCGAATAATTAATGTTAGATACGGTTAAAACAATAACTGCACACATATTTTAAATAAGCATTATTGTAATTTATTTATATAAGATTTAATTATTTTATATAAATACAACATTTTACGAACAAGGTTTGAGTATTTTTGTTTGATGACTTAAACTAAAAGCTATATTAGTATTATACATATATGATGAAGATATAAAATTTTCGTTGGTTTATAGTAATAAATAACGTCATAATATAGCATTTCCTATACATTATATACATACTGGATCTAACGTATTGATAATATTATCCAAAGTAGAAAACCTTCAATATATCTTCCGTTTTGTAAATTATAACCGGTTTTCATTAGTTGAAATAATTTGAGAATAGGTTTTAGACAAAGTAATTTTTTAGATTCCGAGTAGTCCGTAAAATATATATTGCCCTAATAATGGTGTTTCCTTTCTGCTGTAATTGTACTGAGTGTTATACTTGAAAGATATCTAGAAAGTCCAGAAAAGTTATTATACTTACCAAAATCAGACAAAATGTAAAATAAATTGTAGACTCCAAAAAAATAATAATTTGTAACATTTTTTTTTTAATAATTTGTTGAAAATTACTTTTTTATAAAATATTCTTTGCCCTACAAGGCGTTATCACTTATTTATTATTTTAAATTAAATTATTGTTATTATTATATCAATATTGTGCTGCACAAACTATTCACATATATACGAGTACATAAACAATTTTTTTAATAATGTATTGTTTTATTTTGTATATATTATTAGTCTTACATTTAGAAAAATATTTTAATTGTATTTCAAATAGTTTTAATTTCAAATAACAATACATTATAGTATTCTGTACTGAAACATTTCATAATTATATTCATAATATATTATATTTTCAATTTAACTTATAATATATTATATATATTATGAATATAATTATGAAATGTTTCAGTACAGAATACTATAATGTAATGTTATTTGAAATTAAAACTATTTGAAATACAATTAAAATATTTTTCTAAATGTAAGTCTAATAATATATACAAAATAAAGCAATACATTATTAAAAAAATTGTTTATGTACTCGTATATATGTTTATAGTTTGTACAGTACAATATTGATATAATAATAATAATAATAATAATAATAATTTAATTTAAAATAATAAATGAGTGATAACGCCTTGTAGGGCAAAGAATATTTTATAAGAAAATAATATTCAACAAATTATTAAAAAAAAATGTTACAAATTATTATTTTTTTGGAGTCTACAATTTATTTTACATTTTGTCTGATTTTGTTAAGTATAATAACTTTTCTGGACTTTCTGGATATCCTTCAAGTATAACAAGATCAATTAATTATAATGCAATATTGATTAATAATCTTATTTTCAATTTAACTTAAGATTATTAATCAATATTGCATTATAATTAATTTCCCTAGATTTTAAAATTTTAAAAATATTTTTCAATATTTAGATTATTAATAATTATTTGAGATATAATTATACTTCATGTGATAAGCTCAGAGTTAAATTCTGTATAAATGTAATTTACATTTGTAGTTTTTGTTCTATATGTTATTTAATCGTGTTATACGATTTTATTGGTTTGTTCCAGTTCAAGGAGTTCAAATTAGGCAACTAAATCAACTAATAGTAAAATATATTTTTCGACGATTAAGTATCGATTGTTTTAAGTGAATCAAGTCAGGCAATTTTTTGAATATGTGTATTCGACGCATTGCTGTTGTTTGACGGTTGACGGAGTTTTAAACAAGATGGACTTTTGTTTCTAATATATTAAAGAAAAAGTTTTTTTGTAATATTATTTTAGTTCCAAGACGATTTTCTGTCTGTTAATATGTTTGTTTTTAAATTTTAAATTTTCATTAAACTATTTATTATATTATTATTAATTTTGTCCATGGCCCCGTTCGCCGGATCTTACAATCTGTGATTTTTTTCTTTGAGGTTACATAAAAAGCATTATTTATATATGGTACCTCCCCTTCTAAGAGATCTTGACGAATAACAGACGCCATCAACTTGGTTACAGTCGATACGATTAAAAAGGTTAATGAGGAACTTAAATATCGTTTAGATGTTTGTTGTGTAAGTAAGGGAGAGGGGTACATTGAGCATTTATAAGCATTGTACTTAAAACTTAAAATACTCTTTAAAATGTAAAATTTATTCTAACCTGATTGATACAATTTTACAATAAATATGATTTTTTGAAATAGGATGAATCATTTTGGAACACTCTGTATATTATGTAATCAATTAAAATATGCAATGCTTGTTAGCAAATAGAATAACTTACTCGGAAATGTAATAATATTTGGTGAACGAACCGGTGAAAATCAGACAATTTTTTCAGCGTTATGACAATCGTCCTAATCAATAGTCATATATCTACCGTGCAATGAGTAGACTACAGTAATTTTGTACCGGTGAATAATGGTAGTAATATTTTATATCTTGGCGATTACTATTTGTAAAAAAAAAAAAATTCATAAATGAAGGAAATGAAACGCGGGAAAACGATCGAAATAGTGCCTACCTATTTCAGATTTCGGTTTGGCGAGATTGGCGTGGCGAAAATGGGTCCAAAAAGGGAAATGTTCCGCGTCAAATATTGAAGGGGTGGTAGGTACCCCCTGAAAACAATATTTGTTACACAACGTTCCTGTATTTTTTTTCCGTGCTATAAATTATAATTAGGCGCGGCAAACTAGGTCGGGTACCACCATTTGTCCTGTTCTACACATTTGCAGAAATCAAGACTTTTCATTAAATATACATATCGTAGAGGGAGGAGACATTATACATTTTTTAAAGGTCGGGCCGGTATCAAGAATGCACGTTTGCCCCTCGCAAATAATATGCACGGCACTGTTCGCGGACAAAAGGACATCGGATCCACCGGAGTACACGTTACGTTATTTATGGAGTTGCGATCGCGGTCGGGCACGGGACAATAGCTCGCGCTTGGTATTCCGCGAATGTTATCGACGCGCGACACAACAGATCGCCGCACGCACGCACCCGTTCGTCAAATGTTGATCCGCGTAACCACCACCTGACCGCCTGCCCGTGCAGAGCGGACGAATCGGCGGCGGCAGCGGCGGCAGATGTTACGGCCGTCGCGTTCGTACGGAACAGTGCAACGTTGCGACGTTCACCGCTGTTCGTTTTCCGCTCGTCTGTTTATCACCAACGGTTGTTCGATCGAATTCCTTTTTATTTTTTTCTGCGTTCCATTGTTCTCTGTCCGTCTTATTCTCGTCAAGACCTTGTCCTGCAATCATGAGCGCCATCAAACAGTTAATGGTACTGCTCCTGCTCAACACCACGAGTGCGGCGTCCGGTGAGTGTACTGGTTTGCTGATCGTTTACAATTCGTGTCGGTGCGGTCTAATAGTCGTTGGCTACGCAATACGTCCATTTCGAACGATATTACGGCGCGTTAAGGTCCGACCTAGACGTGATCTTGAGTCGACGCATTGGTCCGTACAACATGAAACTATTATTCATGAATTTGAATAGGTCAAAGTATTTCAAACGTCCGTAGGAAACAAATCCGATCCACTTAAGATCGGGCACTTAGTGTACCGCATTGTTGTGATCGGTCTCATTAGTATATCTGTGTGACCTTTTTTTTTTTTTTGTAGCAATGTCATCGGTTCTGTGATTGTTATCTTACCGACTATGGTTCGATCATGTGCTGTGTTCCTAGTTCTGTTTATTAACTTCTTGTTTCTATTAATTTTCCATAGCATTCATTCCCTATCGGCTGTATCGTATTCACGTTTGATTAGGTTAGGTTAGAAAGACCGAGTAAAAAGTTGTTATACGAATGACACAAGTTATTTTAAGGATATATCGTGCAATTTTCTACTTGAGCTTCAATAAGTCTTGAAACATTTAAAAATAAATTTGAAACTCTGAAATCATCTGTGTATTGTAGCAGAATGATTTAATGCAGAATAAAAAAAACATGATTTAAAATTTTAAAATTTTTATGTAAAAATTACTGAAATCAGAATAACTCATTTCATCATTGATGTACTTAAACATTGGTTTATTTTTCACTTAAAACTACAATTGGTTCAACTGTATTCACTTAAACTAATATATTTCACATAAAATGTAAGCAGCTTTTTTTGATTGTATTGCATGTATCATAACCGTTCGCCCTCTATCTTTACATGTTGACCATATATTATTGACAAAGCTCATGACATCGTAGAATAATGTTGTCCTGATTGCGTCTAATCATCAATATGCAAATAATCCTTCGAACTAACATTCTTGTTTGTTTTGGCACCTGTTACGGGATCTTGTTGTTTAATGTTTATGCAATACTTGTCATTTAATACCAAAAATAAAATGAATAGTTTTTAAATAGTTTTTAATTATTTTTTAATAGTTTTTTAATACTATCATTTAATAATTCCATTTTCAACTTTGCAGTTATCAACCGGGTCAAAAATTATTAAATTAAACTACGATTTTAATTAAAATAGATAAGAACCTATTTGCAAACCTACCAAATGTATATACAAAATTTCATTGAAATCGGTTTAGCCATTTTGGAGGAGTATGGTCACAAACTCTGTTGCACAAGATTTTTATATATATATAGATAATATATTTTATATTATGATATTTTCTTGCCATAACAATACATAATTAAAAAAAAAGAAACTACTAATTAGCAGTTATTAATTTAAATAGTTGTTATATAAATAAATAAATTAATAGTTTATAAATAAAAATTTAGCTTGAAGTATTATTATATTTTTAAAGTATGGCCGGTTTCCAATTAAAAATTCATCAGGTATAGGTATATAAAGTTAATGACATTGCGAGTATTAATTTAAATAAATTGCAACATAAAAAAGAATATTACAATAGTTAATAAAAACATAATTCATTCATTCATTTAGGACTTAAATATCACATGCACAATAAAGTAAAAAGAATAATTTTTAAAACAATTAAAATATACAAATACATTATAAAAAAATGAAAATTTACAATACATACCTACTTAATCAATTATGATCAATAATTACATAATAATAACCAAATAATATCAATTTTATAATATTTTATAGAATTTCACTTGTTCTCAAATAATTTTACTTAATACTTATTTTATTTTCTATTTCTTCTTATAAATTCTATAATAATCTGATGTTGAACAAAGGCTGAAAATAGTACTCAAAACTATATAATACATTAGGCTATAGTAATTTGAAAATATAAATATATACAATTTTACAATGAAAAAAATGATTACTTAGGTAGATTAGGTAGACTTTTTATGGTACAAGACTTGCCATTTGTAATTGTTTATCTAGAATAAATTATTTCTATATTGCTCATATAAAATATAATAAGTGTTTATTGAATACAATACGAAGAATTAACAAACCATCAATGATACTTCAATATTATAGGAACCATTAATAACAATAACAAATGCAAATAGGCAAAATAATGATTGTCAGACATATATTTACAGCTATCTTGTCGTATGCGCTTTACCTGCAACTACTGGGTGCTTGTTGTATGTAACTATGCAATTTATATCTTTATTATCATGAATTAATAGTAATAAATATCAGCACTATCTTTTTACTGCATTATATAATTGTTGATCGTATATATTTTAGTCGTTGGATGATAATACTTGAGTTCACTTGAGATATGAATAAAAGTGACACATTTAATGCATTTCTGAAGGACATGGCACAAGTATTTTAATATTTATTTAAATTTTTTATATTTATAATTATTTATGAAACGAGACGATGATGAACAATTGAGAGTATTTTATATGATTCCTATAATATATCACATATTTATAAAAAATGTTGTTTGTCATTAAAACCACTTTTACATCATCCCACATACAAGAATATACTATCTAAAATCTAAATATGGTTGTATAAAGGTAAAATACGATAGAGTACATACTGCAGTCGCAATGCACATATGACAAGATAGCCATATTTACTATAAGGCTAAAATTCCAGTAAAATAACCTAATAAAGTAAATCATTAATAAACCAAGGCCAAAAACCTTATTAACTTACCTAAAATGGTATTAAATGAGATTTATAACTAAATAGAATGTTAAAGGTCTTGACTTCTTAACCCATAATTGGTATAGTTCGGTTTCACAGAACACTGCAGTTTTTTGTTTTTATTGATGTGATAAGGTATTGCTTATATGATTACAGAGGTAAATTTTACCTTTCTATGTAGATAGTATTAAAATGAAAACAATAGTTATGAAAGCTAATATGTTAAGCTTGGGCCATCACAAATATTTTAAAGTAATAAGTGGTCTGACAGACCACACTGTACTATAATCTATTTAATATAAGAGCATACTAGGCAATGGACGATAACGACATCAATAGCTTATAAATAGTAAAATGATGTATAACTGTAATAAGAATCGACCAGAAACGATTACTGTTGTTCAATTAATTATGGGCTTAGGCAATGGAAAGTAATTGGTTATACATGTGCAAACAGGTGTACTCTGAAGTTGAATGGAGTATATTTACATAGCTATTATTCTTATTAAAAATAGTCTTAAGTACTTTAAAGTTTTTTTTTCTCTTGTTATTTTCAATTAAATAATTTATTTCATTTAGTTTAATTTATGGTTACTAATATCAACTTTTATAGTGACTAGTATTTTAGTTGTATGAGTTTTGCATACATTTTTTTTTTAAATATTATATGAATATAAATTATGATTTATAATCATTTATTTTAAATACTATTTATTAATTTTCTTCTAATATTACAGATAATGCTCTAGCACCAAAATGGAGCTCAAGTTATTCTGTCCAAGGTGAAATTTATGTTCCATATGCTGAAGTTAAAGAACCATTCGACGCTTGGTATGATTCTGATTCTAAAAATAGTCGCATTGATTATTATAATGGTGAATACTTATACATTTTTGTGATTAAAAGTAATTTATATTTAATTATTATTATTATTATAATTTTTTTTTCGAATGAATTAGGAATGGTAAAAACTTATCAACTGTCTGATAAAGGATCTTTTGGTGCATCTTTAAAGATTGTTCCTGTTACTACTGAAACTGAAACAAACTCATTAAAATGTTTGGAAGTGAATGGAACTAATAAATTTCATATTTCTCCTCAATCAGCTCTTCCAGACTTAACCGATTTTAAAGTAAATTCATTTTTGTTTTCAAAATATTGATAATAATATTTATTTTGAATTTAGTTGGTCAGTGAACATTTAGAAAATAGCTTAGTGGTTGAAAAATGGATTTCTGTTTCAAAAGTTGGGAAAACAGTCAACAAATATGAGATGTTATTGTACAGAGAAGTAAGACATTTTTATCTACTTTATACAAAAATACAAAAATCACAATTTTTTTGAACCCAAAAATTATTTTATGTTTTTTATATTTCAATGTTTATGTTCACAAGTCCTGAAACATATTTTTATATTATCTGACTTAAGGAGATTTTTAATAGAAATGTAGTACATTTTTTCTTAACTAATTGTAAATGTTAATTTTAGGATAATGTTGCTTATCCGTTAATGTTTCAAATGAATGGATTCAATTCAATATTTGGGTCACATTTTGATAAATATGTTATTGTTTACAAAAGTTTCTCTCCAGTTAAGCCAAATCCTGAAATATTCAATGTAGAAGGTATATTAAGCAAAACATTAAAATTATAAAAATTATCTGAATTTGAATAATTTATTGTTAAAAAATCATGTTTTTAGATTTAAATTGCGAATCTTTCCCGGGACCTGGAGTAGATCATATTTATAATTTTAACCCTATGATGGAGTTCATAAATAATTATGGAGGACACGTTGATTCTGCATTTGAGAAGTATCAACGTCTTCATAACCGAACTTATACCAATGGAACTATAGAACATTTTAATCGTAAAAACTATTTCCGTCAAAACTTAAGGTAATTTTAATATTCTTTTAAATAATTATGTGTTTTATATTTACTATTTTTAATTTATAACAATATATTGTATTGTATTAGATATATTCATTCTAAAAATCGAGCTAATCTTGGCTATACTCTTGCTGTCAATCATTTAGCTGATCATTCTGATGAAGAAATTAAATCCATGTGTGGTTATAAGAAACAAAAAGATGAATATAATGGAGGAAATGCTTTTCCTTACAATAAGAATGATTTTAAAAATTTACCATCTGAAATAGATTGGAGAATCAGTGGAGCTGTTACACCTGTCAAAGGTATTTCAAATAAAATTATACGTCAAATTATTTTTGAAATGTATTCTAGAATAATCATGTTTTTATTATTAGATCAATCAATTTGTGGCTCTTGCTGGAGTTTTGGTACTACTGGCGCTGTCGAAGGAGCATATTTCATGAAACATGGTGAACGTAAGAGCTTTTCTGAACAGGTGTGCATTATTAAATATGGTTTTGTCTTATAATATTATCAAATTAAAGAGAAAATAAACTTGCTATGGGTCTAAGAGTTCAATTAAATTTTTTCTTAATGTAATAATTCTGATCTTTAAAAATATTTATATAAATATGCAATAAATTCTGATTTTTAAAAATGTATATAGTTTTTATAAATTGAAAGAAAAGTAGTTTACCCAAATAATATAACAAATAATTTAAATGTGCAATCAAAAATATATGTCTGTAATTTAAACAATTAGTTTATTAACATTTAAATGTAAATAATTAAATGAAACTATATATTTTGTTTATAATATAAAGTGCAATATGAAAATATATATACACCTAATTAGAAAAATTAGTTAATTAATATTTAAATGTAAATAATTTATATATATAAAAATTTCGTGTCACGATGTATGTTCGCGATAATCTCCGAAACTACTGGACCGATTTTGATGAAATTTTTTACACCGTGTGTAATTTGGTCCAACTTAAAATATAGGATAGTTTTTTTTCAAATTTTTTAATATTTTAAATATTTTAATTAACTTTTTAATAAATGTGTATAATTGCATGGTGTATTTCTATCACCGGAAACATCGATGAAAATTTAAACGCCAATGACATCGGAACTGCATGTATTTTACCTTCAAGCTACATCGGCAGTCCACGGAGCATGCAGGAATACATACAAGATGCGATGACTTATGTACGTCATTACGGTCGACCTGATTTGTTTGTTACATTTACGTGTAATCCAAATTGGGAAGAAATAAAAAGTTTGTTATTACCAGGCCAACAATCAATACATCGTCACGATATCGTTACACGTGTGTTTAAACAAAAGTTAAAATCTTTAATTAATTTAATCGTGTGTCTTTCCGGATATATTGAATTATTATTTAGATCATAATTGGCTCTGTAATCGTGCTATTTTTGGCAGCAAGAAATGTTGATGTGAACGAAATTAACTTCCATATACAACAGATTTTGCCCGGTGATTTGATGTTTTTTAAATCAATCGACACAGTTATTGATGAAAACGAAATCGTAAACTTTCCAACTGAATTTTTGAATTCTCTGGATTTGCCAGGAATGCCACCACACAACCTTCAATTGAAAATTGGTTCACCAATTATTCTTCTACGTAATTTAAACCCACCTCAATTATGTAACGGTACACGTTTAGTCATAAAAAAAATGACCGAAAATATTCTTGAAGCAACAATTTTGTCAGGAAAATTTAAAGGAGATATCATCCTGTTGCCACGTATTCCACTGATAGCGTCGAAATCTTCAATACCGTTTAAAAGGCTCCAATTTCCGATTTGTTTAGCTTTTGCGATGACTATAAATAAATCTCAAGGCCAAACAATGTCTATTTGCGGTTTGGATTTGGAAAACACATGTTTCTCACATGGACAGCTATATGTTGTCTGCTCACGTGTAGGAAAACCATCAAATCTCTTCGTGTTAGCGAAAGACAGGTTAACCAGGAATGTTGTATACAAAGTAGTACTTAGATAATTTTTAGTTTTAATAATTTAATTTATTTTTGTATGTTTTTAATGTATATAGTATTTTTTGTAAGTAGGTCACTGATTACAAACAATAATTTAATATAAGATGAATAAAATGTAAATTCAGAAAATATATATTTTGGTTTGTACTTAATTTCAACTTTTAGATACTTTACCTATTACTTTTAAATAACACTAATACATGGCCTACGAAAATGCTAAAAAACCAACTAATACGCGGGCAACGCCGTGTCGGGACAGCTAGTATAACTATATGTTTTGTTTATTAAGATTAATTGTAAAAACCACTAAGATACTAGATTAACTTTCAAATCATTATTGTAGTCGATAATTTAAATATTTGTTTTATAATTTTAATGATTTATCATATTTTGTCTATATTAAGTAGTTATTATTTTTATTTGTATTTTTTTAGGCTTTAGTTGACTGTAGTTGGGGCTTTGGTAATAATGGATGTGATGGTGGAGAAGATTTCCGTGCTTACTCCTGGATCGAAAAGCATGGTTTACCTACTGAAGATGTATATGGTCCATATCTTTCTCAGGTATTAATATAAAAATTAAAACTTAATTATTTGATATCCCTACAAATGATTGTTCAGATTAAATAGTTAAATTAAAGAAGAAATAAATTATATCTACTATAAGCTATGCATATAATATATTACCTAATGATGCATAGTATAATGTTCTATAAATTTTGTGATTTTAATTATTTTGATTTCATGATTTTGTGTAGTGTTGAATCATTAACAATATAAATTTATCTTTAACTTATTATTTTATTTATTTTATTATGATTATTTTTTAGTCATCATACATATACAGTTTGAAAAAAGAAGGATAGATATTTTGTATAGAATATATAAATATTGAAATATCTAAAAATAAAATATTGTAATATTTAACCATATTTTGAAACTGTATAATACTTAACATTAAAATAATTATTGTATTCTGTGTATTTACTATTTTTGTTATTTTAGGATGGTTTTTGTCATATATCTAACATAACAAATGGTGATCGTACAAAAATCACCAGTTTTGTTAATGTAACTTCTAACGATGAAGAAGCATTGAAAATTGCTTTATTCAAGAAGGGTCCTATTTCTATTGCTATTTTTGCAGCTCTGAAATCATTTTCTTTCTATTCAACTGGGGTTTATTATGATAAAGAATGCCGTATGTATTTCTAAATAAATAAATTATGTTATTAATTATTGATTTTTTATATAATAATTATATTTATTTATTTTTAGTTAACGGTCCTTTGGATTTGGATCATGCTGTGTTATTGGTAGGATACGGCTCATTGAATGGCCATCCATACTGGCTAGTGAAAAATTCATGGTCAACTCATTGGGGCAACGATGGGTACATTCTTATATCTCGTAAGGATAATAACTGTGGTGTTCTTACTAGTCCAACATATGTTAATCTTTAGAATGTATGATTTGCCTATTTTACAGTGTCATTTTTCAATATGACATTAATTTTACAATTTTAAGTCTGATTCATAATATTTATAATAGTGATTTTATTTTTATGAGTAATTTGGTACTGCATGTTTATTATTTTTATATTAAACTTGTGATAAAAAATATGTTGTACCATTTATATCTATATTGTTCTAATTCTCAATACTTTAATATAATAATAAATATTAGTTTAATACTGAATTTAATATGAGCTATTTTATCTAAAAAAACATTTATCTTTATTAAACATAAAAATGAGTTTAGTGAACTAGTCAAGGTTCTTGAATCACATGCAACAAAATTAATGCTGTGAAATAAATTAGTATAGTAAAATTTACTATTTAATAACTAAATCATTCTTATTTTATTTTATACTACCTTGTTTCAATAATTTATTCACATAATCTCAGTACATTATCATACATTTTTATTGCTGTCAATTGTAAAACTCTTTCTCTAATTAAACATCTATATACTTAGTGTTCGGCATTACATTTATATTTTTATTATTTTGATTTTTTTTTCAGTATCTTTTATTTATTTTCATTTAATATTTTAACTGTATCAAATTCTACCACAAAAGTATTTAACATTAAATAACATACATTTATTACTCATAATTAAAAATTTCATCAACTTAATTTTTAAAATTGACTATTAAAAATGTATTTATTTTGTTACTTAAATGCTATTTTAATTAGCCAAAGAAGTTATTTTAAAGTTGTGTTATTCGTAAATGTATTTGCAATTTTTCTATGGTTTGTAGAAAACTACCATTTCACTTTTGAAAACTTGTTAAAAATTTTCTTATATTGCTTCTCCGGTGGAACAACGGCGTAAGTGAAAATGTAATTGTTCTTCAGAAAACGTAATTGTTCCATTGGACATGTGATTAAAAACCGGTATTTTCAACAATGACGAAACTGCTCTCTAGCGGTCAATAATAGGTGTTATACTTATGTCATTGTTCCATTCGATAAAATGAAATGTTATTGTATTGTTGTCGTACTTATGTCTAAAAGTCAAAAATTTGCACTTATGTCGTTGTTCCACCGAAGAAGCGATATATTCATTCAAGTGTTTTATAATACAGTAGTCACAAGATAATTCGAAATGTCTGTTGGTAGGACTCTATAATTCAAATTTTTTTTTTTCCAGAACCTTTATAATTCAAATTTGCTTTAATGCGGTTATACGTATGTTCATATATACATCTATTTGACGTACTCGCATTGAAATGAATAAGGACGGCAATTAAATATTATCGTAGTTTATAAATTTTATCATACCTTACTTACCTAATATAGATTTTAATCGTATAATTTTACCATTTTTATGTCAGATTTGCGAAAATTTTTCGAGCATTCTGAAATGTACAAAAAAGAATGCGATACAATTTCCAATGCTATCAGTAAGTTAGATAAAGCTATGGACCAGATTATTGTGGCCAACAATTTAACACAAAAAAAAGAACTGATTTCTTTAAAATGTAAAATATAATACATAATATGTATAATAAATAAATATCAACTAATAAATGTAATATATACATATAATTTTTTTCCTTGGATTATTCGAACACTCGGTAAATCAAAAACCTCTTTAAATCGAATTTTTAGCTTAGTCTCCTGAATTTCGAATTATCGGGTGATTACTGTATTAGAATATATAGGAATATATAATATCAAATAATATTAATATAACTGAATTATCAGATAAGCTATATAAATATATTTCTTTAGTCTTTTGGAAAAAACGAAATTATTCATAGTTAATGGTATAATGATTAAAGTATTACTTAATGAGTGAAAATAGATACATTTTTTTTTTTTTTTTCTATTTTATTTATTAAGATAAATACATTGGAATTATAATTAAAAGAAAGAAGAAAAAGTTTGATTTTGACAGTAAAAATATATACTAGTAATTACTAGTAATTACTACTAATAAAATAAGTATTACCATTGATTATAGATAGTATACTACTACAACTACTAGATAATATCCATAATCAATGGTATTACTTATGAAAACCCTAGTATTAAACCATATTATATTTGAATTTGCACTGTTAAAAGAAATCAAGTTGTTATGGATTATGGACCCTATATATAGATAATTAATAATCAACATTGCATAGTGCATATAGTATGCAGTAATACAGAATAAGCGGGAAAAAATGACAAGTTGATGCAAAACCAAAGCAAAAAATTAACACACCTGAAAGTACTTGTTACCAATAATAACAATGTTGCTATTATACTACAATTTTACAATTAATTTACTATTAATTTTAGTTATAAATTAAAACTACAGAATACAAGTTAACAATCACTTTTACTTTTGCATTTTCTTAATGATTTTTAATGCATTTACTTATATTTTATTATAATTCTTTAAAAATTAGATTATAGTATAAAACTATATAATTGTATTCATATATAAAATTGTGTATAATACGTATGACTATTCCATTTTAACAACAGAATATGCTTCGTTATATTATTCGATTATTCGATTAACCGATCATTTATCATTCATTAAAAATAATTATCATAGGCGTGCGTATGGTGGTGGGCCGCGGCCCCCCCTGCGGACTCTGGCTTTTCCTTTAATAAATGTACTATACAAGATAGCGAATATTTTTAATCAGACTAATCAGAACTTGCATATAATATAAAAATTGAAGATGTAATTGATATATTCAAAAGCCTTACTCTCGTGGACAGAAGGATGGAGTTGTAAATAGTATAATAATATGTAAATAAGGATTTCTTAGATATAAATTGTGTAAGTTTAAATAGTATTTATTTTTATATTTACATTTTGAATTAAATAAATAATTTATAAAATTTAAAATATTTAATTATACTATAAGTCTTTAGTACAAGAATCTTTGATTCACCTTTTTTAAGAGGTTCCCCTGCGGACAAAGTCTGCGTACGCCTATGATAATCACACAGCCCTAAGTTGAATACGCTATTGCTTACAGTTAGTATATTGCAACACATTGTATTTATTCCGTTATTATCTGTAGTTCGTTATTATGTTTACAAACACGAGTTCGTTCACATTACTTAATTAATTAGTCAGGAAACCTGTTTCGTTTTGCCTCACACACATGTACCTTCCAAACGTGTTCATTTAAATTCATCAATCTCACCTCATCAGAATGACAAAAAAAAACTTTAATTTTTGAAGACATTAGTAACAATATTTTTGGATTGCATTCAATAAATTTTCCTATTAATCTTCAGCTTCAGCTATCTACATCAAAATATATTTAATATCTTACAAATACCCTTAATGATATCAAAACAAAAATTAATGGTTCAAATTGATTTTTGTATATTATTGTACAGCCCAGTGGCGTCGAACTCGGGATTCAAGTCTGATCATGACTAAACCATATTTTTAGAGTGGAGGGTCGTGCCACGGTGGATTAGTATACGAGTAATAAGTGAATTAATCCAATCATCAATAAATTATAATATTGTCCATTTAATAATTACTATTTAAGACGTTTAAGTATCTAAATTCTATCGTAAATGCAAAAATAGGTTTAATATTTTTAAGAGTGGTTAAACTCCCAACCCCTTAAAGTAAGTCCTTAAATGGGGTGGGATATAAGTTTTAAATTTGGTGGATATTGACCAGACTATTCAAAATGGATTAATTATATTGCAATCCCAACTTATTTAGAAGAAACCAATGCCAGTTTTAATTTTTTATTCGGCACAGAATTATGATCAGATATTTAAATTGATCTATATATAAAGGATTTACAGTTGATAAAAAACTATTATAAATGCTTAAATAATTGCAACACCAGTAAAGCAGAAACTGAAAAAAATGTCACTCCTCTATTCCCCAGCCAGTCAACTATGTGCAATCTAGAAACCCCAGTCGTTTCACTCACAAACATACGCTAATTTCGTAGCCAATATAACCCGAACCACCGTATATTTCTGATAATTTTTCCATACTAATTAACGAATTTATAAGTTATTACCAGGGATCGGAACTTAATGCATTTGCATCTTTCTCAGGAAGCTGTATATTTCAAATCTGATTCGATACAAATTCGTTTCATGAACCATACAGTTGAAATACAAAAGTTGATGTTGCATATTTTTGCATATTTTACCAAATTTATATAATTATGCATATTTAAAGATTTTGAATATATAAATGCATTTTATGGTAAAAATTTATAAGAAATCAACAACAAACAATTTTTGACAATTGAATATTGTAAATTAAATAATTTAAAAATAAATAGCCGCCGCACACGGTTTCCTAGTCTATATTTGCCATGCTATCAACCATGCTCGCCCGCATGGTTTATAGTGTTTTTACTAAGAAATAAGAATTGGTCGTTACTCTTACCGTAATGACCGCCCAGGTTTTATTTATATTGAAGTCGCTCGTTAGATAAAATCGTTGTATATTTGTGGTGTGTGTTAGTATGTGTTTGATCGTGTGTCGAAAATATATTCGATAACGGTGGTCTGTTACTTTAATAAATTAGTGTGTTCGTAGTTCGTATTGTTTGCTTACCGTGCTTGATTACCGCTTATGTGCCATGTAATATTCTGATTTTAATATTTGTTAAACAAAAATTAAAATGCCTAAAAAAAAAAAAAAAATTTAAGTAGTCGTTTAAATACTTTCGTGTCTGAGTTCGGTAAAAATGTTTTTAGTATTGACACTAGGGTATTATTTTGCAAATATTACGAAACGAAAGTCGATTCGGAAAAAAGATCCAGCGTAATACAGCACTTGAAAACAGAAAAACATTTGCGTTCTGTTAAACGTAAAGAAAATCAACAAGAGACCAAGTGCCAACAACTATTAACCAATGATTTACCGTCTAAAAAATCGAAGTTCAACCTGGATTTATGCAAAGCTATGGTCTCGGCTAATATACCACTAAATAAACTATCAAATATAGAGTTTCGGACATTTTTGGAAGTTTATTCTGGAAAAGATGTCCTCACAGAATCAGTACTTCGAAAATTCTATTTAGACGACTGCTACAA